GTAACTATTGGGAAACATACTATGGTTATTGAAACTAGCTACTCATGCGCGGTTTCACCCGCTGCTCGGCTCTATTTGATCGTAATGTAATGTTTTATAGCCTATAGCACTCAGGAACATTGTAGCTATGTATCAGTGAAAGAATTTTGGTAATCCGACCAGAGCGGTTCCAACAAATACCCCCTACATACAAACTTAACCTCTTTATAATACCTTTATATGTATAGAAAACTAGCCGCACGCGCTAACAACGAATTGGTCACTTTTCCAAATTTCCCATCCACTTTTCTAATATTTTCTTTGATAGGAACCTTCTCCTGATAATAATAAATTTAATAACCCCCCCAGGGGACCACCTTGACGTGGTGGGGGGGCTTAGGGAAGGCTTGAACTATAAAAAGGTCAATGACAACTAGACCAACCCGTTAAAGGAGGTACAAGTACTGGAGCCACTAACATCTTGGCTATACCCTTCCAACTAACGGTCCCAATCACCTATGCATTTGACCCAGTCACAATTCAAATGCATTATTTTCCCTACCTAATTTCTTCGTCACACCCTTATTCTTTCTAAATCTGTTCTATCTTCCTTGTTTTTGTAATTCTATAGATACTTACTTACTACTCCTTCTCTCATGTCTTATCTTGGCCATTCCTCATTATATATAAAAAAAAAACTCCATATTTATGCGATGCGTCTAAGAAGTAGAGTTATACCCCAGGCGGGTACCGGAGTTAACAACGATGGAGAATCCCGCCCCGGGCCTTCCAGCCCGGGCTGCCCTTCGTATTCTGGGGAGGGCACCGTATCGCAAGCTGCCCAGTCACAAGCTGTTGCAGCAAGACATGCTCAATCGTCAACATGTTCGTCACCAACTTCATCATTATTCTCATCCATCCCTTCATCACCAGCATCATATATCAATAACCAACAATCAAGCTCAACCAATTCATCACCATTATCATTTCAATCCACCAGGGAAGTTGTACAGGAAGCTATCTCAGCCGAAATTACTGTACCCGCCCAAGGTGTTCGGCGCACACGTAAAACGTGGACGAAGCCAATGAATATTTTCATCATGCGCCATTATTTCATCCTCACTAATCTAGAACAGGACACAAAAACTTACCTAACACCACTACACGCCCGTTTTACGGCAGAATTCCCCAATATGAATGCCTCAAAACAAAGAATCGGCGATCAGCGCCGTGCCATTGTCCAACGTAACTTCCTCACAAACGAAGAAATTTTAAAAATAAAGGAGGAAGTAAGACTTTTATTACAGCATCAATCACCAACACCACACAACACAGAAACCAACCATTCTTCTTCCCGTAGAATGAGATGGACTGACCACCTAAATGAAACCATCATGAAAAGCTATTATCGCTTAACAAAACTTGAAACAGACTTCACCACTTATAGATCATTATTACATCAAGACATAATTTCAAAATGTCCCTCTATCGCACATCTGTCCGCACAAAGACTAGCAGACCAACGCAGATCCATTGTAAACAATCAACTTTTATCCACTGATCGGTTAAACGAAATAAGGGAAGAAGTCAGAAATGAACTATCCTCCATAAACACCTATAGTTCGGATAATACCACAGCACAGCAAGCAATTCATGAAACATTAACACAGCCAACACTTTTAGTCACCAACACCGCCGACATCCAATTAGCACCAAACACCATCGACCAAAACACACAACAAGTAGCACAAAACAGCTTAACACTATCAGCTGAAATAACTAAGCAGTTAGAGGAAATGTATAGTGAAACTTATCATAAATTAAAAAGTTCGGACCCAACAACACGACCTTACATCCCTAAGTTGAGACCGTCCCGGAAACTTGCAGCTATTACAAGTTGCCTCAATACTCACATACTTCCAAAGACACTGACACCAGACACAGACTTCAACACACTACAAACTTCGATATATTGCGCAGCATACACCGCAGCAAAATTTAATGGTGCCAGAATTAAAGAAAGTGTTGAATCTAACAATCAATCGGAACAAATACCATGGTGGCAAAAACGATTAGAACGCAGGATTAGTAAACTTAGGGCAAATATCGGAAGACTTACGGAGTACGCAAAAGGCGTCCGTTCTCAAGCTCTTGAGACACACATCTGTAATATAAAACGCTTATATAAGACACACACTCAACACGAAGCTGAAAATACAGACATTACACATTTTTTAGACACTCTGAAACAAAAACTTAACACATTAGCAAACCGATTAAGAAGATATAAGGAGACAACGACTAGAAAAATACAAAATAAACAGTTTAATAACAACGAAAAGCTTTTCTACAGACAGTTAACACAACAAAATAATAAGTTACAACATGACACACCCTTACCAAGTCCTGAATCACTTCATACATTCTGGTCTAACATATGGTCCAACCCCATACAGCACCAACAAAGTATCTGGATAGAACAAGACAAAAATAGATGGACAGAGACTCCAGATATGAAATTTGACCAGATCAGCTTACACCTTCTTCAAACAGTAATAACTAGGACACATAATTGGAAAGCCGCTGGTTCAGATAATATCCACAACTTTTGGTATAAAAAATTAACATGCACTCACATACTCTTACTCAAACACATCAACGCATTCATCCAATCACCTGACACAATGCCGCCATACATTACACAAGGCATAACTTATATGCTTCCTAAAGACCCGCAAGATACCGCTAATCCAGCGAAATACCGACCTATCACTTGCCTTCAGAACGTATATAAAATCATCACATCATGCCTAAACGAAACTATTTACAAACACACACATGAAAACAATATCTTAGCAGAAGAGCAGAAAGGTTGTCGAAAAAACAGTAAAGGTTGCAAAGAGCAACTAACCATTGACGCCGTTACATCAAAACACGCACTAAAACAAAAGCGGGAGATACACACTATGTACATCGATTATAAAAAAGCTTTCGACTCTGTACCACATTCGTGGTTGATTTATATCTTAAAACATTACAAAATTCATCCAGTCATCATTAATTTTTTAGAAAACATTATGCCCCATTGGAACACCAAACTTAAAATATGCACTTCCAACAAGACTACGGAAACAGATCTCATATCGATCAAGAGAGGCATCTTCCAAGGTGATGCACTAAGTCCCTTATGGTTCTGTCTTGCACTGAACCCACTCTCATACATGCTTAATAAAACTAATGAGGGTTTTAACATAAAACACAACTCGGAACACACCTCACTCACTCACCTCATGTACATGGATGACATAAAACTCTTTTCAAGCACTCTAAATGGATTACACACCCTAGCTGACACTACACAAACCTTCTCTAATGATATTTGTATGGAATTCGGGATTGATAAATGCAAAATTCAGTCCATCATTAACGGAACATCAGTACCAACAACGTATGAATTAAGAAATCGTGAAACTATTGAAGCCACAGACCCTAATGAAGGTTATAAGTACTTAGGATACTACCAATCAAAAGAAATACATCACAAAGATACAAAAAACTACTTCAAGATAATTTTAGGAACCGGCTACATAAAATATTACACACCCACCTCAATGCAAAAAACACTATCAAAGCAATCAACACCTTTGCGATCCCTATATTAACTTATTCCTTTGGTATTATTCGCTGGACTCAAACAGATCTCATACAATTACAACGAATTATTAACACGACAATGACAAAACACAGAAAAAATCACCCCAGGGCTTGTATACAGAGATTAACCCTACCTAAAATAGAAGGTGGCAGAGGACTTATCGACATTACAAATCTCCACAATAACCAAATCACACTACTCCGATCATTCTTCTTCAATCGCTCACAACACTCTCCACTACATAAAGCTATATGTCTGACAGATTCATTCACACCCCTCTCTCTAGCTGACCATGCAAAACAAATGACCACAATCAGCAAGGAACAAAAGATACAGACTTGGACACAAAAATCGCTCCATGGTCGTCACCGTCTCGACTTAACTAACCCAATTGTTGACAAGGTAGCGTCAAACGCGTGGTTAAAACGAGGCGAGCTGTTCCCAGAAACAGAAGGCTTTATGTTAGCAATCCAAGACCAAGTCATAGACACCAAAAACTATAGAAAATACATAATTCGTGACAGTACTCTTGGCAGTGATCACTGCCGACACTGCCACAGGCAACCCGAAACAATCCAACACATAACAGGCGCGTGTTCATCCATCACGCAAACAGATTACAAACATAGGCATGACCAGGTAGCAGCTATCATACATCAGGCACTAGCATACAAACATAAACTCATTCCAGAAAAAACCCCATATTACAAATATAAACCCCAAGTCATCCTAAGCTCACCTGAATTCAAAATGTATTGGGACAGGACAATACTAACAGATAAAACTATTCACCACAACCGACCTGACATCACACTCTTGGACAAGAAAAATAAAATAGTATATTTAATTGACATAGCAATACCTAATACACACAACCTAAGTTTCACACACACTAACAAACTCACCAAATATTCAGACTTAACCATTGAGCTGAAAACCCAATGGCAAGTTCACACTGTCAAGACTGTCCCTATTATATTATCTAGTACAGGCATCATCCCAAAAACACTTCACACGAGTTTAAAGACCCTCGATTTACATCCCCTGACATTTCTACTTTTACAGAAAGCAGTCATACTCAACACATGCAGAATAGTCAGAAAGTTTTTATCAATAGATTAAATCACCACGCTTGTCATCCCCAAGGTTGCTTTGGCCACAAGCCCGCAACTTTGGTGTATTTCCCCAGAAATGGGTGAGGTTTTAACCTAAAACACAATTTAATAAAAAATAATTGACAAAATTGGTCAGTTGGACACATTTTGCGATAGATACCTTTTTTTACCTAATTAATTCATAATGTCTCCACAATAGTTGTTAATACTCAGCAGCGGATCAGACAGAATTTACCAAACACGAAACAATAAAAAAAATCATACCTACTATAATTTCGAAACAATTTTATTCTCTTGTAGAAATTTAATTACATATGGGGCTACTCTTTCGGGATGCGTAAAATGCACGTCATGGCTGCCTTCGACATCCACGCGATTAAAATTTTCTAATTTTGACAATCTGTCGATCAATTCCATGGCGCGATCCCGCCATATTGGATTGTTTGGCGCGCTTTTGACGCCATCGCTGGCGACCACAAACAAAGAAGGCGGTATAGTTTTAAATAATTCGTAATAATAATCGATCCCGTAATTTTGGGGTGCGAGGTTTTTTAGCCGATTGTCCCATGATAAGTACCTGTAATTTGAGGAGAGATTGTTTTTGAAAAAAATAAAACACGGAGAATTTAAATTGTTTTTTTTGATTATGTGATTTTTAATAAATTTATCATTTTGTTTTTTTTATTTAATGTATTTTGATAAAGTAGGTACATAGTTTGTGAAACATTTCAAAACCAAACTGAAATTCAAAAAAATAATAATCAAATAAAAAAATGAAAAATGAGCAAATTATTTTAAACAGTGCAGTTCCTTTTCTGACACTAACAAAAGAAAAACATTTTTGGTCTCAAATTGCTCAGGACTATTGTAAAGTAACACTCAAATCAAAGAAAACTTAACCCTAGTTCTGCATAATTATAGCAAAGAAAAATAAGCTCTGTAACACTCCACCGAAGACTTAAAACTCAATATTAATACTACATAAAAATTGCAACAATGAAAAATAAGCTCTATAACACGGTATGATAAGAATCAATATTACATGTACTTACCCAACAGCATCATTTTCGCGCATATGTCTGATGATTTCGCTGAGATCGAGGGCCGGAGCCCCGTCAGGACATGTCGAAGCCTTCGGTACTTCATAAGTTATCCGAATGCGTTCTGGATTCTCTCCATTTAAGGTGCCTAGATCACTGGAATAAAAAAAAGAAAGCTGTTACCAGCGAAAAAAGGTGTGGGAGAGCCATGCTTCGGCACGAATGGGTCGGCTCAACCGGAGTTATACCACGGCCTCACAGAAAACTGGCGTGAAACAATATATAGGTACCTATATATAAAAGAAAGTCTTGTTAGTTCCTCCACTTATAACTCAAGAACGGCTGAACCGATTTAGCTGAAAATTGGCAGGGAGGTAGTTTAGAGCCAGGAGAAGGACATAAGATAGGATAGAGTAGGTTAGGTAGAGTAGGGTAGGTAGAGTAGGGTAGGTAGAGTAGGTTAGGTAGAGTAGGGTAGGTAGAGTAGGGTAGGTAGAGTAGGTTAGGTAGAGTAGGGTAGGTAGAGTAGGGTAGGTAGAGTAGGGTAGGTAGAATAGGGTAGGTAGAGTAGGGTAGGTAGAGTAGAGTAGGGTAGGTAGAGTAGGGTAGGTAGAGTAGGTTAGGTAGAGTAGGGTAGGTAGAGTAGGGTAGGTAGAGTAGGGTAGGTAGAGTAGGGTAGGTAGGGTAGGGTAGGTAGAGTAGGGTAGGTAGGGTAGGTAGAGTAGGGTAGGTAGAGTAGGTTAGGTAGAGTAGGGTAGGTAGAGTAGAGTACGGTAGGTAGAGTAGGGTAGGTAGAGTAGGGTAGGTAGGGTAGGTAGAGTAGGGTAGGTAGAGTAGGGTAGGTAGTGTAGGGTAGGTAGAGTAGGGTAGGTACTCAAATGACGAGAGCGACGCCGCGGGTTAGAGCTAGTTTATGATGTTTTCCTTCGTGTAAGTGAGATGAGATATGAGAGGGAATTTGATATTTCAAGAGGAACTATAGTTAAATCCTTAATAACCCACAAGAAGCCGGCAACGCCCTTGTAGTAACTTCTTTGGTAGGATGGGCGGCGCTGATTGCTTACCATCAGGTAATCCGTCTGCTCGTTTACCGACCTATCCAAAAACTCACGCCCCATTCCCAATGCCAATCTCCAATATCCCCCAATTACAAGCCCCAAAGTCCTTCTTTAGCTTTGTTTTAAATTGCTTACCATCAGGTAATCCGTCTTCTCGTTTGCTACCCTATTCTATAAACAAAACAACTCACCCAGAGAACCGAAGCTGGTACTGCCTCATATACTGTTCAACCAGCTGAGAAGTAGTTAACGGAGGCCCAGGGTTTTTCATCTCCCCCTTTCTACCATCAGAAACCGCCTCAGATTCCAACACAGGAGATTGGGTTTCTGGCCTCGCTTCTAGTGGATTCCGTGCATCATTTGAGGAACTAGCCTGGTCTTGGAGACGGGGCTGTTCCTGTTTCCGTGTCACCGTTTCTGATGAATGCCATTCTTCAATTTGGTTCCAAATCCTGTTGGAGAAACATGATAAAACTAGCTTTTGCCCGCGACCGGAGGCCCAATCCTTCCCCTTACCCAATCCCTAAATCTCCAAATCCCTAATCCCTAAAAGGTCGGCAACGCACTCGTAACTCCTCCGTTGGGAGTGTCCATGGGCGGCGCTGATTGCATACCATCAGGTAATCCGTCTGCTCGTTTGCCGAGCTATTACATAAAAAAAAGACTCCGTTCACGTGGAACGGTGACTTCCTGCAGATTCTTGGTATAAAAACTATCCTATGTCCTTTCTCGAGTTCCAAACTATGTATGTATCAACTTACACAGAAACCGGCTCAGCAGTTTAGGCGTGAAGAAAAGACAGATAGACAGAGTTACTTTCGCATTTATAATATTAGATTGGATATTTTGGACAGCTTGGATTGCCATTGTTCAACTTAAAAAAATCGCTCAACTTCTGGAATACTAACTATCGTCAGACGTACAAAATTTATTAAAAAAAAAACAGGCTTACTCACGTGAATGAACTGAGAAAAGCACGACTAGTTTCAACTCACAGTCGGACTCTTATTCTTGAGAAGCGTGTGCGTCGCGATGACATGTGTTGTGCCTCGAAAATAGTAGCGCTTTCCGCAGTTCACTCACGTGGGTACGTTGTTAGTTTCAAAAAATAGCATCAGGTGAAGTCAAAATAAAAAAATGGTAGAACAAAAAACTAAGCACTTAAAAGACGTTAGACAAACGTGTGGGAGAGCCATGCTTCGGCTCGACCAGAGTAATACCACGGCCTCACAGAAAACCGGCGTGAAACTACCACAGCGTTGTGTTTCGCCGTGTGAGTGAGGTTACCGGAGGCCCAATTCTTCCCCCCACTCCCTCTTCAATCCCTAAATCTCCAGCCTAGCAGACACTTTAGGAAAACGACCTTACAGTCTATCTAAGAATACCAATCACAGTACAAAAGTGAAATTGGTCTTCAACATCTGAGAAAAAGGCGACACTCCGAGCGTCAAGGATCGAAGGATGCTGACGGCCACCGTAAGCGCGGGTCTGCGGACGGTGAGTAAGGGTAGCTCGCCGCCCGACCAGAGCCAGACCCGAGCGTACAGCTCTTAGCGTTCCGCGCGCGCCTCAAAGAGCCAATAGACCACCACAGACGGGGCCCTATAGGGCTGATGTTAAGCGCAATGAGGCACCGCGGCCTCGGCCTAGAGCAGGACAAGGAACGGGGGAGTTTTTAGTCAGTAAGAGTCTGACACTCCCTCTCCCCTCACCTTTGGCAGAAGAAGTCATTTTATGATATTCCCCTCACAAAAAAAAACATTTAACAAATAAAGAAATATGAAACTTACCGATCGTCAATTTTATGGAAATTCCGCTTGAGTAGGAAGGCGCATTGAGGATCGTTGAGGTCCCGGAGCCGCTTCAGCGCTTCAGTAGCCGTATTCTTTGTGTAAAGCTGAAATTATACAACAAAAAAAAAATACACTAAAATATTCAAAATGGCTACTCGTGCTCAGTTTCACCCGCTCCTTTTTTTATGTAATTAGTCGGCAAACGAGCTGACGAATAACCTGAATGAATGAATTTAACATTTCATAGTTCCATTGTTTCAAAGTTTCATCGTTTCATCGTTTCAATGTTTCATGATTGAATATTCTATTATCTTGCAAATAGTACTTCAGTTATTATGTTTCATTGTTTTCATATTTATTTATTTATTTATTCATATTGCACAATGTACAGTGAAGTTGTGTGGGTCAGCGCTGAAAACCAGCGCTGTTGTTTCGTGCCTGCGTGCGCGAGACACAGCATTTATGCTGAGCGCTGTCCCTTTTCACGCATGAGTGACGCAATTGCAGCGCTTTTCTTTTTTATGTTCATTGTTTGTTTTGTCCCTAGCTATATTCGTGTGTATTTGTTTCTTTCGTCATTTGTGTGTAAAATAAATGTTTTTTTTTTCTTTCTTCTTTACAGTCAGGAGTCAAAAATGCAATTACACTCTACCAATTTTAAAATGACAAAAATTTCTTTGTAGTAGTAGTTCAATAATATTACAGTATGATTAAATAACAAAATTGTCGTGGTGGCCCGGAGGTTAAGGAGTCCGCTTTTCATGCTAGAGGGTGTGGGTTCGAAACCTGGCAAGTACCAATGTGACTTTTTCCAAGTTATATGTACTTTCTATGATTATTTAGACACCACTGACATACGGTGAAGGTAAACATCGTGAGGAAACCTGGACTTATAATTATTAATTATAAGTTTGAAATCGCCAACCCGCATTGAGCAAGCGTGGTGATTAATGCTCTAACCTTCTCCCTATGAGAAGAGGCCTATGCTCAGCAGTGGGCACTTATAGGCTGATGATGATGATTAGATAACAATTAAACTGACCTTCCTCTCAAAATTCTCACGATGATAGTTGTCGTAGTAGCTGTCGTAGTATATGCGCTGGAACTCCGCTGGGTCCTCAATCTGCATCCTCATCAGCGTCGGCCCGGCGTCCAGGAGTATCATCTTCGTAATACGATCGGGGTATATGGCATTGTAGAACAGACCTGCAGGGGAATTAATATTTCCATGAAAGACACGGCCACTGCCCCACAGAAAACCGACGAGAAACAACCACAGCGTTGTGTTTCGCCGTGTGTGTGAGGTTACCGGAGGCCCAATCCTTCCCCTCCCCCAATCCCTAAATCTCCAAATCCCTAATCCCTAAAAGTTCGACAACGCACTTGTAACTCTTCCGTTGCGGGTGTGCATTCGCAACGCTGATTGTTTACCACCAGTTAAACCGTCTGCTCGTTTGCCGACCTATTCAGTGTGGGGGAGCCATGCTTCGGCACAAATGGGTCGGCTCAACTGGAGTGATACCACGGCCGCACAGAAACAACCATAACGTTGTGTTTCACCGTGTAAATGAGGTTACCGGAGGCCCAATCCTTCCCTCGACCACCTCTCCCCAATCTTTATTAAGGCAACGCAGTCGTAACTCCTCCGTTGTTGCACATGGGCGGCGCCGATTGCTTACCATCAGGTAATACGTCTTCTCGTTTGGCGTCTTATCACAAACAAAAACGATTGGGCCTCTGGTAACCTCACTCACACATTCAGCAACGCGTCTCCTCCTGGTTTTCCGAGTGAGGATACCCAGAGCTGGTTACTTACTATCAGGTAGTCAGTCAGCTCATCAAAAACAGACCTTGGCCATCCAGAAGTAAAATACAAATTACCTTGTTCACACCCCATGGAGTGCCCGATGAAGATGAATTTGTCCCATCCAAGGTGTGCGACCACCAGCTCCATGGCGTAAAGGAAATGGAACCTCGTCAGTTTTGGACCTGATGGATCGAAGAAAACACTGCTTTAAATAAATTTTTTTGGCAGTACTCTGAAAAAAGCGCCAATCTTGTAGACGAGAAAGAGGGATGGAGCTATACACTTTTTATAGCTCCATCCCTCTTTCTCGCCCCGAAGATTGACGCTTTAACACGTACGGTAGGCCTTCTGGACCTGTTTGGTAAAGCCGTGAAACATAATTATTGTTAATTTTAACGTAACGAACATTAAGTACCTAGGTATATCCTAATACACAACAATTCTAAATGCAAAATAAAATTTACATACAACGGACAAAAAAATGACAACTGCAAAAAAATACCGCCAAAAAATTCAACTACAATCAGTAAGCCAGTTGAGAATATCAGTCGACTTCACGCACAGTGTACATTGACGTTTATAACAAAAAAAAACTCTAAAAAAAAGTTGTATCAGTAAGCTAGTTAAGACTATCAGCCGACTTAACGCAAAGTGTACATTGACATTTATAACAAAAAAAATGCAAAAACAATTCAAGTGCAAAAAAAATACCGCCAAAAATTTCAACCAAAATCAGTAAGCCATTTGAGAATATCAGTCGACTCAACGCAAAGTGTACATCGACATTTATAACAAAAAAAAATCTCAAAAAAAAGTTGTATTAGTAAGCTAGTTGAGAATATCAGTCGACTCAACGCAAAGTGTACATTGACGTTTACAGCGTAAAAAAATCGCATAAAAAAATAAGTAAAATCACTAAGCAAGTCGAGAATATCAATCGACTCACCAGCCGCTGACTTTTTATTTTCGTAAGTCAACGTACGCGATCTACAGAAGTTTAAAAACGGCTCGCTCGGTTTCGGAGGCGTATCGAAATACACCGCGTATCGGAGATGATCCGGGTCTTCAGATTCTGAGGCGGCTGAAAAACGCCTCATTATCAACTGTTTCGTAATAAGATGGGTACGCGAATTGTTTTTATACTATAGTCGTGTTACACATACAATAATTATGAATTTTATTAGGTATCTGTGCCGATTTAAATGAATTATCGCTCCAATTGATCATTCTAGGGTTTTTTCAAAGCAATGACGTATTATTAGTACCTACAATTAGTTCAAATCTATAAACAATATTTCCTACTATCCTACCAATATTATAAATGTGAAATTTTGTAACAAAGTATGATGGATGCATGTTTGTTATTCTTTTTCGCAAAACGGCTCGACCGATTCGGTTTGTAGATTAGGTCTCACCTGTGCGAGTCGCTAGTACTAAATACTATACTAATATTATAAAGAGGTAAAAGTAAGTTTGTATGTAGGGGGTAATCTTTGGAACCGCTGGTCGGATGCCCGAAATTCTTTAACTTATTGACAGCTACAATATTCCCGAGTGCTATAGGCTATAAAACATCACGCTACAAATAAATGAAGCCGAGCAGCGGCTGAAACCGCGCGAGAGTAGCTAGTACTAAATATGTGGGTAAGCGGAAAACTTAAGAATAGAGGTTTCTGCGTTCATAAATAAACGTTGTTGTTAAAAAAAATGAGCTAAGCACAAATCTTACATCTACGCCTGAATACGAGTCCCGTTGTAACTTGAAACTGGTCGAGCTTTTCTCGAACCAGTTCACATGACTACCTTATTGCTAGCTCTAATATCTCAATCACTTTTACAAATATCAAAATGGTTTTCAGCATGATTTTGTTTTTGTTTTTCGTGATACCTACCAATAAATTAAGCATATTTTGACAAATTTTCCATCCAAGATCTTACCTTTAGGGAAAGCATCCGAGAGTCCATTACCAGGCATGTCTAGAGCCACATAGTAATACTGATCAGTCATCATATTTAGGATGGGCGTGAACACTGAGGAGCTGTCCTGTCTCCCGTGGACCAGGAGCACTGGCTCTCCATCCGGATGTCCTCGACTGACCACTGGAATAGATGGAAACGGTGATTTGAGTTACGAAAATAGGATGTAGGTTTTTAGTAGCACAATATTTTTTTTTTGTGTAACAGCTCGGCAAACTAGCAGACGGATTACATACATACACCCATGGATACTCGCAACGGAGGAGTTACGAGTGCGTTGCCGACCTTTTAGGCTTTAGGGATTGAGGAGGGATTGGGGGAGGGGAAGGATTGTGCCTCCGGTAACCTCACTCACACGGCGAAACACAACGCTGTGGTTGTTTCACGCCGGTTTTCTGTGAGGCCGTGGTATCACTGCGGTCGAGCCGACCCATTCGTGCCGAAGCATGGCTCTCACACACTTAGCATGGCTCTCACACACTTAGCATGGCTCTCACACACTTAGCATGGCTCTCCCACACTTTGTATTATTATATTATATTTGTATTATTATACCCTTGGAGATTTTTTAAATTATTTTGTAGGCATAGAGTTTTGGCATAGGTCGGGCGGCAAACGATGGCAACGAAAGGTTATGCGTCATCTGATGGAACACAATCGGCGACGTCACTTGAAAGTATAGCTTCGGCGCGAATGGGACGGCTGGACCGGAGTGATACCACGGCCTCACAGAAAACCGGCGTGAAACAACCACAGCCTTGTGTTTCACCGAGTGAGTGAGGTTACCGGAGGCCCAATCGCCCCCCTCCCCTCATCCCTTCCCAATCCTTATGTAACTGAAACCCTTATCCCTAAAAGGCCGGCAACACACTCGTAACTCCTTTGGTTTTCCGGGTGTCGTTGGGCGGCGCTGATTGCTTACCATCAGGTAATCCGTCTGCTCGTTTGCCGACCTACATTACCAAAAATCTTAACATAATACACACGCCAGGTTAATGGCCTTAATAATATACCTGGCCTTTTTTATTATGCGCATATATAAATATACTTAGTCGGGTCATAAGTTCTGTCAAAACCTTATATTTTTAATTTTCGATTACTGGCCAGAAATTCTTCGACTTATTTTAAAAATAGAACTTTCGCGCTTGTAGAAAATAAAAAAGAAATTATTTTTTATTCATTTTTAAATATGGAGTGGTCGAATAAAGAAGACAGAATCGCGGTTATCGCGTTGCACCGCTGTGGTTACGCGCCAAAAGACATTTTCAATATTCTTCAAAATTTGAAAATAACGTTACGGTTTGTTTATCGTACTATCAAACGATACACCGAAGAGTCAAGCTTCGAAGATCGTAAGAGAAGCGGCCGACCTCGCACAGTTCGGACACATAAGGTCATCAAAGCAGTGAAGGCGCGAATCGAACGAAATCCCGTACGTAAACAAAAAATCCTAGCTCTGCAGATGGGGCTAAGCAGAACCACTGTTAAAAGAGTACTAAATGAAGACCTGGGACTACGAGCTTATCGTAAAAAGACAGGACATTTTTTGAACGAGCGTTTAAAAAAAATTAGGCTAGACAGATCCCGCGCTTTGCTACGACGGTACGCGGGAAAAAAATACCGCGAAATTCTTTTTTCGGATGAAAAAATTTTTACTATTGAAGAAAGTTTTAACAAACAAAATGATAAGGTGTATGCCCACAGCAGTGAAGAAGCAAGCGCGCGTATTGCGAGGGTCCAGCGTGGGCATTACCCTTCCTCATTCATGGTTTGGCTTGGAGTCTCATATTCAGGCGTAACTGAGGTGTTTTTCTGTGAAAAAGGTGTGAGAACTAGTGCCGAAGTTTATCAAAATACTGTCCTAACAAACATAGTGGAACCTCTTTCTCAGACAATGTTCAGGAACAGGCATTGGATATTCCAACAGGACTCTGCACCGGCTCATAAGGCACGAAGTACGCAAGACTGGTTGATCGCTCGTGGAATTGACTTCATCCGGCATGAAGACTGGCCCTCTTCTAGTCCAGATTTAAACCCACTGGACTACAAGATATGGCAATATTTGGAGGAAAAAGTCTGTGCTAAACCTCACCCGAATTTGGAGTCTCTCCGAGCATCTCTGGTTAAAGCAGCGGCAGACATAGATATGAATGTGGTGCGTGCAGCGATCGATGACTGGCCGCGTAGATTAAGGGCATGTGTTCAAAATGGGGGAGGGCATTTCGAATAATGTAAATAAAATTATATTGTACATTTAATGACCTTTCATTTCATATATAATTTTTAAATAATTGTCAAAAGGCGTATAAGTTATTACATCAAAAGTTTGTGACAGAACTTATGACCCGACTAAGTATTATTACTGTACATTCTTTGACACTATTGGCCTTATTACAAGACAAACGGTATTTAGTCGGCCTTTAGTCCAGGTCTTAACCATTGAGCCAGTTTTTGTATTTCAAATTGAAGGAAGGTGGGAATAAGATTCAAAATACAAAACCTTTTTTTTATGTAATAGGTCGGCAAACGAGCAGACGGATTACCTGATGGTAAGCAATCAGAGGAGAGGAAGAGGCTGCCAACGCACTTGTAAATACCAAAGGAATTACAAGTGCGTTGGCAGCCTCTTTTGGGTTGTCAGGAACATGGGATTGGGCTCCAGTAACCTCACTCACACATCGAAACACAACGCTGTGGTTGCTTGACGCCGGTTTTCTGTGCGGCCGTGGTATCATTCCGGTCGAGCCGACCCATTTGTGCTGAAGCTGGGCTATTTTATACTATAATATTCAACCGATTCTAAACATTGTTAGGAACAATGACGTATTATATATAGACACGTCATGAACCAACATCGCGGCGCTTAAAAACGGCGAAAATACAAGATAACTACTTCTACGACTAAAGAAAGGGAAAGCAAATATGACATCGTATAGTGGAATGCCTTTGCTAGAGGGAGATAAATATACATCTTCAGTTATGCCGACGTCACGTGACTATACCTTCATGCGCCGGCCGCCACAAGATGGCGGGCACCGGCGTCGAAAAAAATAAAATAAAAATAGGTTGTTTGGTGAACTTACGCATGAAATGACACATTTTTGTATTTAACTTTTAGAGTATAATTTGTACATCCTCTGAACACACACGACGGCATGCTTTCTTTAGTTTCGCACAGGTTTACACACACGATATAAATTATAACAAACGTAGCGTCGCGCGGGAGGTTGGTGCGTGACTAAGCGCGATGTTGTCAAATTGCCTTCATTTCATGTTGCCATTTTAGAGCGCGGACAACGTATCTATAGATTTATACATCATTGGTTAGGAACGGATTTACTGCATCTACATAATATATTCAGATGTTAATAAAAGATGACCCAACGTGACCTTGACCTGTTTCTTCGGCTCAAAATGGATTTATGAATCACAATGCCAACTTCCTTTAAAATATATTTATATTCAACCAAAAAGTTGTGACAGGGTAGGATGCATATATGACTACTACTCCTTTTGTTTTAATGGGGGAAAGCCATCAAATGACTTCTCTCACTCTAAAAGGGATGAGAGAGAGTGTCAGACTCTTACTGGATAAAACCACCTCATCCAAGCCACAGCCACATTGTTGAGCTTTACCAGCAGTCCTGGCTGAACCTATGTGGCTGTTAAAATGTTAGTATTATTTATTAAAATAAAATATTGTTGTCCAAATACCACAAAAAAATACAAGTAATAAAAGTAAAAAAAAAAACAGTCACTGTAATAATGCACAGATAATACAAAAACATAGAGTACCTACTGTTTTTTTTTTACTTTATGTATTGTGTAACCTTTTTTTTTGTGTTGAATTGGACCAGGTATAAAAACTATATGTATAATGTTCTAAGAAGAAAATTGTTATGCATTGAAAACTAGAAAAAAAATTGCAAAACTATACAGTATTCTGAGCTGCATGTGCATTGGTAAGAATTTAAAATTTAAATGCAACATGTTCAAATTTACTATGTTGGAGAACCATTCTACGGCACAAATAGGTCAGCGAGAAAACTGATGTAAAACAACTATTACCTCCAAAATTGTTTATCCCGAAAGGCAGGCAACACACTTGTAATTCAATTCACCTGAAAGTGTCTGTGAGCAGTGGTCAAGCAGTGGAACAAGCAAATAACTTCACTAGAAGAAGAAGGCTGACCAATAGACAATTTCTACCTTTTAGCTTTGTTTGATGCCTACAAGGGTCTTGTTGAAATAATGATTTTGATTATTTTTTAATTGACTTCAGTAAGTGGGTGTCTTAAGCCGTGAAAATAAATTACGTGAATATATTTTTCTCTATTCATCAAAATAATAATCTTTGATTTGGCTATCACTCTAATTTCTTTTCCAGTTGCTGGGTGATTGGGAGAAAATTAATGTGTGGGTCGATTCAAATCTTAAAAGAAAGACATTTCAAAGATATTATGTATAATCTCTGGCACACTGACCTGACACAATTGTTGTGAATGTTCAAAAGTGTATAAGCAGAAAAAAATACGGTACTCACAAGCTAGCTGTCCCCACGGCACTTGAAGTCTCCATTCATGTTGGAATTTCATTTTCACAGATCACAAACAGAAAAATATAATCCCAAAAAAGAAAAATAACCACAGAAAACTTTTCTGAAAATAATCGTTGGACGAAACGTAAGTAGAGAATAACTTTAACACATTTTCTACAGAACAAAGTTCAAAAGCTTGCTATTTATGTGAATTACCGTTGTATTTACATTATCTTAAAAATAAAACAAGAATTGTCTCAGATCTAGTCCTATCCCCATTGTATCAGTATCAGTGATAATGATAAGAATATTGATTGAAATTAATCAAAATTTTACTACGCAGAATCCGTACCTTCAGTTTATTTTCTCTCATATTTTTAGCATTGTCTTATAGTTCTATCTCTTTTATTCATTTTAACTAAAGAAAGAGATAATGCATAAACAAATGTTAAACATAATAAAATAGTGTACCTACTGTGTGGGGTTAAATGATAGCTGTCAAATTGAAAGCGTCAAATTCTTAATAGTGTTGGGTAATCGCTTTTCGTGAAAACGTTATTGTGATAACCGTTTACGTTTTTTAGATAACGACTGTTTTTTTACCATGGAAAATTAAACTAATATAATTATTGTCATAATACAAAATTTTATTTACAATTTGCTTTTTACATTGTCTTTTCTAAAGGATTTTGGTGATCGCAAGAACTTTGCAACGTAAGGAGCGACACCTTCGCTGTTCGTTATGTGCACATCGTGACCTCCAATAACTGTGACACTGTAAAAATTCGGCAATATGGAACGACAGTTTTCTATTACTTTTAAAGCGAACTTCTTAGCTCGTTCGTTGACATTTATGCCATCCGAAGCTTCAATGATAAGCGTCGGCGGTGCATGCTCGGTTAATATAGTGAAAAATATTTCTTCCGATATTGATGCTGTAGCAATTTTTTTCATTCTGGGTTCCCAGGACAATCTGAAAAATAAATGAAAGGGATTTCAGATTTTATCTTCAACCAGCTTTTACCCGTGTGGAATGTTTATAAAAAGTAGCCTATTTGTTTATCCAAGATATCGCCTACCTACACACCAAATTTGAAACAAATCGATCCAGCCGTTTTTGCGTGAAAAAATAACAACCAAATACATTCTCACAAACTTTCACTCTTACAATATTAGCAGCTTAGTGACCTACTAAGCTGCTAATATTGTAGTTAGATAGGTTAGGATGATGTTACTGAAAGATTTGACAATGTTGGATTTTTTTCAACTCACCTAAATCTACCGTCACCAGCTGGTATTAATGATCTAGACAGGATCGTTTCAGCTTGATCTTCTGTTATATTTCTGTTGCGGACTGATAAACCAACGGCTTCTTCCAGTGACAAAGTTTTTTGAGGGCCAGTTATAAAACTAAAAATAAAAAAAAAATTACGTTATAACAAACATCATTTGAATTCTAAACACTTCAAAGAGTTGTCTATCGTTTGTTGAGTGGTTGCAAGTATCGTGTCGTAAAAGGGCGCTGTAAAAGTATTCAGTTTTTTATAAATAAACACATCCCATCATCATAGCACAGTTCTTAAAACATCAGTCTCTTACTTCACAAATCGCTAAAACGGCAGCATTGCATTTTTATTGCATTTTACACTATTAAGTTTCAAGTGTGTATGTCTACAATAAATATCTTATCTGTTACTGGTTATTCAGAAGAACAACTTACCTTTCATAATTACTATAATACATATCGTAGAGGTATTGGTACCAATAGGGCAGCTTATGGTGGGGATAATAATACGACGTCACTGCGAGGACTGGGTCTAAATGCACCATCTTAGTTATTTTACCGGGAAATATATGATTGTAGATCATACCTGCAATCACGTTAGAATTACGCAGTTTTGACAGCAGAATGAGATAAATAAACAACAATTGTCGTCACACTATCTCCACTTACCTATAACAAAGCCCATGGAATGTGCCATAAATGCAAATTTCCCCCATTGCATATGTTTCACAATTATTCTAATCACTTCCACCATATTTAACTGTGACACAATAACCCCGGGAGGAAACGGGTCCGATTTGCCATGACCTGTATAAAAAAAATGTATATTAATAGCTTGAAATTATAAAATTGATATAAAATTGTGTCTCAAAGAGAAAATTCACTATTGGTTTGTAATAAGAAAATGAACTTATACGTTCAAAATATTAATTAGCAATCAGCTAATTCAAAGAAAGAAGGGTTACCTCAATATTAGAAATTCTCAAATAAATTTCTCACCTGGCATATCAAAAGCTACATAATAATAATCATCTGGAAGCTGGTCGACCAATAAAATGAAGGTAGCAGCAGTATCCATGTAACCATGCACTAATAATATAGGCGGATTTGCAGGATTTCCCCATGATACCACTAAAACAAAGTTACGTTTGTAGATAAAACAATGACACAAATTTAGAATAATCACAATAAAATCATTAATATTTTTTTATTATTCATGATACGATCAGATTGACAACCTGTTTTGAAGTCGTTTAAAAAACAGTTACTTTTTCGTTTTATCTGTTGTTTTGAAAACAACGAACGTTTATTTAAAGAAATACCCATCACTAGTCCCGGAAAGAAGGAATGGTAGATGTGTTATTGTAATGTGTACTTAATTCGTGTAGAAATAAAATTGAAAATCGTATGCAGTATTATTGATAATAATGACAGAACGAATGTACCTATAGAATAGAGGCCTAGTTACAAAAATTTTACATTCGTAATTTGTTGACAAAATAAATATCTTTAGAAACAGTAAACAAGAAAACTTACTTGCAATTTTACCCCATTTTGCGTCAATTGTCCATTCATTTTCAAGTTTCTTCATTTTTGGGTAATCTTAAACTAAAATACTTTAAAGGCCACGATCACGACAAAATAATAAAAGTGTCTTTGTTATCTATTTTACTTATTATTAAAACAACAGCATTTTTATCTTTTCGATTAAATAAGATGTAATTAATGCAATGATGAGGCGGCACACAAAATTGATTCAACAAAAAAGAAAAACAAGCGCTTATGATACGATCGCTTATTATAAAATCCTAACATGTTATGAATGAACATAGAAAAAAATAAAAAAAGTTAGGTTACGTCAAATACAAAGTTCACAGCCAATAAGCGGTAAGATAGATAAATACTAATAATGCTAAATTCTATGATAATAACTATTTAAATTATGTATTTTACTTCGTTGTAATAAGATTGATTTTGTTATTGCACTGTGAAAATGTTATTTGGTGGACCTATCTTTACATGTTTATTACTTGAGCCCACGTTTTTTTTTTATTAGTCATGGCTTAGGTAGACCTAAAAATACAAGTTAGCGGTTTGATCTTGATCTTTGATCATTTTTAAAACCTAGAATATTAAAGATATACATATGTTTTTGTACCAATATATAAACATTTTGAGGAACATAATAGGTAATTAATAGTATAAATCTCAGAAACAGTGGTATCTAGGTACCTAATTCTAAGCGAAGAAATCTGTTAGATATATATTATTTATTAGCTTAATTAAAGCATTTTTAATAAATATGTAGTTTATTTTATAAAGAAGTGTTTTTATTTAATATCTAATACTTATATTATTTAATGCAAATTAAACGTGTTTGGCGGTATAATGTATTGTATTCTGCCTAAGCGTCAAATAATAATAAAAAAATTTACTTAGAACTACATTATATTGCAAAGGTCACTGTGTCTATAATTTGTTTGGACTTGAATACACCTGGTTATGTAAGATATTTTTAAGTAGGGACGTTTTACAGCTCGATACTGAGATTACCCAATCAATTATAGCAATAAGGAATAGCATGATTTTTGTATGTAAGATGCTGTTTAGTACAGACTAGGTAAGTAATAAATATGTACTTATCAAGAAAAAACCCTAATTTTGTTTTGAAACTGGTAAATTGAACGTATAAATAAGCGGGACACAATGTATTTTCTATTGTGTTTCATATACAGACAGATGAGAGGATAAGCGACCTTTAAACCCTTTGCTTGCTAGTCAGCGAAGAATAGAGACGATATCATTTTAGATAACAATTATTACTTAACACCTCGAAGAACAGCACCATCTAGTGGACAGAAATTGAACTTACGTTACACAACGTAACCAATAGATGGCAGAGCATTACGACACGCTAATTTTGCATTTTCTGTAAGAAACTTGAAGTTCTATCAATTCGTGTGACATGTATTTAAATCATTGGCTTTTTTTTAAGTTACGGCAGTAAACAAGCTGACGGATCTCCTGATGGTGAGTTATCCCAGAGAGGAGGGAGAGCCACGCTCTCCAATCCCCAATCCCGAAATCTCCAAAACTCGAATCTCCGAAATCCCGCAACGCACTCGGTAACTCCTTTGGTGTTGCGAGTGTGTTGCAATTGTTTACCATAAGTTAATTCATCTGCTCCTTTGCCGAACAATCACATGAAAAAACTTATTCACACGGTATGGAGTTCATTTGGGTACCTAGACAGTAACAAAACTATAGTCTATACTATCTATACTAATATTATAAAGAGGTAAAATTAAGTTTGCATGTACGAGGTAAACTTTGGAACCGCTGGTCGGATTCCCAAAATTCTTTCACTAATAGATAGCTACAATGTTCCTGAGTGCTATAGGCTATTAAACATCACGCCACAACTAAATGGAACTTAGCAGCGGGTGGGAATGTCCGAGAGTAGCTAGTACACAAATAAATAAAAATACATACGAAAGGAATAAATAAGATAAGATTGTAAATGATCTGCAGACAAGTGCAATGAACTCGCCCGGACAAAAGTGCGTTGCCTCAGAGCTGAGTAGGTACCTACCGTTTGATTTGTCATACTCATAACTACATACAAAATTTTCAATAAATTAAAGAGAAAAAATATTGTTCTTTGCAGCCATTTTAAGATTCTGAATCTGATATTTCCATTAAAATATCACATCACATCAGGTCATCAGCCTATAAGTGCCCACTGCTGAGCAAAGGCCTCTTCTTACATGAAAAGGGTTTGAGCATTAATCACCACGCTTGCTCAAGGCGTGTAGGCGATTTCAAACTTACAATTAGAAATTATAAGTCCAGGTTTCCTCACGCTGTTTTCTTTAACCGTATGTCAGTGGTGTCTACATATTCATAGAAGGTACATATAAGTCGGAAAAGGTCATAATGGTACGGACCCGTGCCATGCATGAGGCGAGTCACCACGACAATTGATTATGATATCAAATTTCTAAGCTCCGGCTTTGCACGAGTGCAGTGCTTGGCCATGTCAGTCAATTAAGTAGTCATATTAATTTTCTTCACTATTTAATGGATTAATTAAAAATGTAAATCTTACTCTTCAATCACTCTAATATCTATTAAAAAGATCCGCATCAAACTCCATTGCTTAGTTTTAAAGATTTAAGCATAGGTAGGGATGTAGGGACAGGGAAAGCGACTATGTAGTGGTAATAAAGCCATTACAAGACGCGCACGCACGCTGCTCATGAATAAGAGTCCAGTTTTTTTAAGTGTGGGAGAGCCATGCTTCGGCACAAATGGGTCGGCTCGAGCGGAGTTATACCACGGCCTCACAGAAAACTGGCGTGAAACAACCACAACGTTGTGTTTCGCCGTGTGAGTGAGGTTACCGGAGGCCCAATCCTTCCCCTACTCCAATCCCTCCTCAATCCCTAAATCTCCAAATCCCTAATCCCTAAAAGGTCGGCAAAGCACTCGTAACTCCTTTTTTGTTGCGGGTGTCCATGGGCGACGCTGATTGCTTACCATCAGGTAATCCGTTAGCTCGATTGCCGTCCTATCACATAAAAAAAACTTATGACTTGATACTAGTAGAGCTATTTTCTCATTTCATTCACGTGAGTACTTACTTAAGTATCCAGAAGTCTTTGCTTTCAATATATTCGAAAGTGTGAGTGTGACAGTATAAGTTAGGTTACCAGAGACCCATTATTCAACCTCCGCCCCTCTCTCCCCAATCCCAAAATATCCGAAACCCGATGGCACAAAGGCCAGCTATACACTCGTAACTCCTCAATGTTGAGGGTGTCCATGGGCGGCATCGATTGCTTACTATTGTCTCCGTCATCAGGTAATCCGGTCTGCGCATTTGTCGATCTATTACATAAAAAAAACAAATTAAATTATAAGGCGAACAATGAGGCAGAATAAATGAAAACAATACAAATGAAATAATTCCTTGTCGTTTTTTATTTATTTCATCACTAGCTTCCGCCCGCGGCTTCGCCCGCGTCAAATTAGTTTTTGTCAATCCTGGTCCCTTATTTAAAAATGGTATCGTCGTACGTAACCCTCTTGCTCATTGCTAAACATAAGCGGGTATTGTAGTGCGTCATAAAACTTGTGTGTGTCGGACACCCTGATCAATGTGTTATCATGGGTTTGAAAAAAATATCGTGCGATGCGAACTGTTCACCACACACCATGGCAGCGACTTCGTTTATTAAGGGTGCATTATAACGTCTTTCATGTTCCCCGCTTGGCGTACGATCGCCGAGTATTACTAATTTGTGATTTTCCCGTGGCATTTTTTCTAAGGCTGTTTAGAAGGTATTAATGAAGGTATTACGTTCGTGCAACATTCTTTGAATTTTTAAAACAATGTCCCTCTCAGTTCCTTCAATATTTTGCCATTAACGGTCAACCTCGCTCTAGAGGATACGGTGGAGCATACGGTAGCGGTATGCCCTGCCTGGGCTAAGCACCGCCGTATCCTCAGGGAAGTGATCAGCGGCGGCGACCTCTCGCGCCCGGCCTTAGTCGAGGCCATGGTGCGGAGTGAGAGGAACTGGGACGCCGTCTCTCTCGCCGTCCTTTTGTGAAGCAATCATGCTCGCAAAGAGAGAGGCGGCCTGCGTGAGGGAGCAATCCTCCTCCTCATGCCCCAGCCACCGCAACTGGCGACACTACGGGCGTCGGGGATCGAAGGACGATCTCCGGCCACCGTAAGCACGGGTCTGTGGTCGGCGAGTAAGGGCAGCTCGCCGCCCGACCAGAACCAGGCCCGAGCGCTCGGCGCGTAGCGTTCCGCGCGCGCCTCAAAGAGCCAATAGACCACCACAGACGGGGCCCTAAAGGGCTGATGTTCAGGCGGGGTTGCGGGGTAAGCGCAATGAGGTACCGCGACCTCGGCCCAGAGCAGGAGAAGGAACAGGGGGGTTTTTAGTCAGTAAGAGTCTGACATCCCCTCCCGCGCGGCCCTGGGCGGGAGAAGTTGTTTGATGATTTTACCCTCACAAAAAAAAAACGGTCAACCTCGCTGTTTTCGTCTCCCATAAAATCAATCTGTAGAAATGTTGGTTGATCATTGTTTGTGGAAAGCAAAAAACCAATCCTATGATAAACTTGCCCTTGTACCGTAAATGTGGGTGAAAATCCAGGCATGATGACAGGAAAAATCGCCGAGATTCATTGCTGTCCTTTCTTCTGTCGTTGCTCCTCGGGGTCACCAAGCGTTGGTACTGATACTTTGCCTCCAGAACAGCACATACCTAGGGTCTCTTCCTTCCACTTGAGTGCCTCGCAGTGTCTGCGTTTATTGGCCATTCTACCTATGAGTACTAATCGATGATTAAATTAATCAAGATCATAATCAAAAGCAGCATCGGCAAATGCCTCCCACGTATTCATCGTAAACGTACGTCTCCTTTCTGCTTGCCGCTCGGCATTAATTAAACGTCGTCTACGTGTTTCTTCGGAGGTCTCTGCGGCTATGTACGAAGCTTGACTAAGCATCTAAGATTTGGCGACCTTGGGTCTGTTGAGAAGTCTCAGCAGCTCTTTGAGCCGCGTGACGCTCGGCATCAATGGCTTGGCGAGCTTAGGTCTGTTAAGAAGTCTCATTCCAGTGATCTATCAA